GGGAGATGTTTTGTTTAAAAAACCAAACCAAAACAACAAAAAACTCCAAAACAAAAAACAAACAACCCAAACCAAAACAAAAAACCAACCAACCAACCAAACCAGCCAAAAAGCAAAACCCCAAACAACAACCAAAAAACTAACCCCCAACCCAAAAAGCAAATACACAAAAACCCACATAAAACCCCCCAAACTCCATGTAAGTAATGATTTAAAGGTACAAATTAAACACTCAGAATTGCTCAGGTTGGCACCAGCAATTATAGCACCCAAGGGTGCCATAAACATCCGATGAAGAGAAAACCCAGTTTTATTGTTTTAGTGACTTCTATGTATGAGTATTTCTTAACTGGCTAATTGAAATTGATTTCACTAGATAATTGAACAGAGTCATCTGAGATATTCTGTACTTCAATTCAAATTAGGTATTTGTGAGAATCACTCTTTGCAAAAGTGATAGTTTATAGTGAAATTAAAGGTGTTTTAAGAAGTGAATGTTCTGAAATGTAAATGCATGCTGCAAAATTGTAATGTGTAAATACTTCAACTGCTTCCTGCGAGAACTTGCATGGCTGTAGTCTTTAAGACAGTAATTGAGTGACTGATGTTACTTAGATGAACTTTTATGGAGTTAGGCCTTAGTTTTGTAGAGTTTTGATCTATTTAACAATGTTAGTTGAAGAGATTAACACAATTAAATTACTGCTACTGTGATATTTTTGGTTTTTGGAATAGAGAGAATTCGATGTTTTTAAAGCAGTATTTCTATTGCCAGTCATAGTCACAAAGATAAAAGCTTAATATAATTGAGTTTATTTGGAATTGATTTACTGTTTAACTTTACTGAATGCTTAAATTTTATTTTAGAAAGAAGAATTACAACTTGAGGTTTCCTTTCAGAATATTCAGGCTCTGTGTTATGAGCACATTCAGATTTTGCAGTGGCTGCGATCGTACTATATTATGTTCATCATTTCTCCTCAGAGGTCCTTTAAACAGAGTATGATGTCAGCCAAGTGTTTTACATGATTCTGTTGGAACTGCTGTGATGTCAATGGGATAAATAGAAGGCTCCTGCAGATAATTCATCTAGGTCCCCTAAATTCTCTACAGGATATGAAGCATAATGGTTCCCCTGACATTAAATTATATATAGATAAATCAATCCAGCTGAAAGGTGCTGCTGCTTTTTTTTTTAAGTATAAATTGCTTTGTATTTGGTGAATTGACCTCTTTGGTTTCAGAGTTGCATAGGTTATTTTTAACCTTTAATTCTTCTTCATTACAATGTATGCTTTCTGTGAAAAATAAAGATTGCAGATAATAGCCGTTAATGAAAGGTAAATTCTTTAGGTGTGGAATGACTTTTAAAAAGTGGGTAGGGAGTTTTACATGTTACGAAAAGAGAGAATGAAACATAAAAATAACATGCTGACCATTGCTAGATGGTCAAGATGTCCCAGCTGGAAATAGTCTTGGGTTGTATTTTTCAAGTATTTTATTCTGTTGGATCTCTCTCTGCCTTAAATATGTTTGAAAAATGTGTTGTGTTTGTTGATTCACAGGAAGGGATGTCTGTACCACTTTGCTTCCATTAACCAGACTGTGCTCTGAAATGTTTTACTGGTGTTGCAAAAATCCATTAGAAGTAAGAAAGAAGTAGGGAA